GTGAGGAGTGAGTGGAAATTTATACACACACACACACACACACACACACACACACACAGCACCTGCTTTACCACTGCAGCTGCAGAGGAAACTGCAGCTGAAATTTAACATCAGGAGAAAGCAGGTGTAAAATTTGCAGCAATGCTGTCAGCGTGGCAGCTGTTAGTTATGGAAGCCCATTTCTGCCACTGGGATGAAAAATAAAACAATTCTGTAACTCAAAATAATATTTTCTCAATGTTTTGACTTTGACCTACCATTAGGAAGTAGCATGCACCAGCTGGCTTTCTGTTATTGGACTGACCTTTAGTTGTGGCCATTGTGTTTATAGGCTATGTAAAGCACCAGATCCCACTTTGTAGTTTTCAGGAGTCGCATTCTCTCGGTTGTTCTTTTGTTTATACGTATATTACTTATAAGCTTAGATTAATAAGCATATAAACATAATAGGCCTATTGTTTTAAACACGACCTCCAGTATTTGGATCAAATAGCTTGAGCTGAAAAATGCAGTGTGTCAGATTAAGTAGGATCACTTCCAACTGTTATTTCAATGTTTTAGATACACAGTGAACCAACATTTACTGCAGTTAAATAACTATAGAATTGAATTCTGCTAAAATTACTGTACATGAAGGGCTATTGTACATGGATATCAGAATCAGAACAGACTTTGTCATTGCACATGGGAGTACAATGAAAAAGTGGGTACTCTACTCAACAACAGTGCACCTTAAAACTTTAACATACTAAGTACAAGAAATATGCAATTTACAATTTTAAAGAAAAAATACACAATGCAAGTATAAAAAATAGAATTACAAAATGAAATGTACATTGGTAGGACTGTGGAGCATTTTTAGTGCACGGTGGATTTGCACATTGAATCGAGGTAGAGGATAACGTATCTGTGCTGTGGTGTCATGTGCATGTGTTTGCATGTGGAGGGGGAGATGGGGGTCAGTGATTGTTTGCTATCCATATGGCCCATGGACAAAAAAGCTGTTTATTAGTCTGGTGGTGTGAGACTTTGACCTGAAACGCCGTCCAGAGGTCAACAGGTGGTGTGCAGGATGTCTTCTGTGATGGCCTTGATTATACTGAGGCAGCCGGACCTGGAAATGTCAACTAGGGAGGGCAGAGGAGAGCCAATAATTTTTTTGGGTGGTGTTAATTACCCTCTGTACAGCCTTTCTGTCCTCAGCGGTGGAGCCTTCATACTACACCCCCAGACATTACATCAGTATGCTCTCCACGTGGTAGAAGGCCAGCAGCAGCTTCTTGTCCAAGTTGTTCTTCCCAAGTACTCGCAGGAAGTATGAGACTTTGACCTGAAACGCCGTCCAGAGGTCAACAGGTGGTGTGCAGGATGTCTTCTGTGATGGCCTTGATTATACTGAGGCAGCCGGACCTGGAAATGTCAACTAGGGAGGGCAGAGGAGAGCCAATAATTTTTTTGGGTGGTGTTAATTACCCTCTGTACAGCCTTTCTGTCCTCAGCGGTGGAGCCTTCATACTACACCCCCAGACATTACATCAGTATGCTCTCCACGTGGTAGAAGGCCAGCAGCAGCTTCTTGTCCAAGTTGTTCTTCCCAAGTACTCGCAGGAAGTGCAGCCGCTGCTTGCTGGGCCTTCTTCACTAAGACCTTGATGTTATAAGTCCAGGAGAGGTCAGCAGTGATATGAGTGCCTAGAAATCTGAAGGTGGCGACGGGGGGGCATACAGTCCTGTATGCCATCTCATCTCCTCCAGGGGTGAGCCCAACCACGATGGCATGACCTGCGGACTTGATGGTGGTGGTTGTGTGGGATGGCATGTAGTTGTCGGTATACAGAGTGTACAGTAGGGGGCTCAGCACACAGCCCTGGGGTGAACCAGTGTTGAGTGTGAGCATGGAGGAAAGGTGGGGGCTGAGTAACTGATTGTGGATGTTTTATGTAAAGGATAATTAAGTAGCTGTTTATCTATTCTGTATTTCTCTGATACAGGCCGTGTGCCTCACACAATGGGGGCTCTGGTGCACAGAATTTCCGACGAGTGTTTGTGCATTCTGTCCAGTAACACATTGATAACATGGATGGTTCACTGCGACACTGTTTAGTGTTGACAACAGACCCCATTTGCAAGCGACTGAACAAAACTCATCCTGAACGAGAAACTAGGGTATAATCTCCATGAGGGGCCATGGAGACAAACATCGGATGCAACAATCAGCAGCAGAAACATCTCAGTCTCATTTGTATTTTAGTTGATATAATGGATTCAAGCCCGTTTATGTAAACCTTACCACAAACTACCACAATTAAAACACAAGATGCAAACGTATTTCCACTGCCTGCTGTGCCTGCTACAGTGTATCATTACAAATTATTCATTTTTGTCTCAATTAAAACCTTTTTTTTTTTTTTTTTTTTTCGGAGAAAAGGACTTTTGTCCAGCTGTTTAGATGTTAAGTTTTTAATTGACAAGTTGCTTCTGTGCTTTAAAACTAATCGTTACATCTGTGAATTAAGTGATGCAGAACAATAACTACTTGTACTGCCCATAATTGGCATGCTGTTGTTGCTTTAATTATCAGCCTTTCCACTCAGTTCACAGATGGATGTTTGTCATTCAGAGTTTTTTTACACCCCATTTCATAATGCATCAGTTTGAAATTCCCCTAACTATTGTCAATAGCTTTCTTGTACTGTATCATCAAATCAAAGTGCAATCTTCTGCTATAATCCCACTGAGTTTGGCCTTTACCTGCAGTCTAACGAAGAGGAGTTAAATTTCTTAAGAGCAAATCAACAGGGAAATATTCTTATTGGTGTCCCTTTACTCACAGGTGTGATATCATGGTCTCAAAGAAATGCACCAGAGTACAGAACAATTAAGAGACTTGGAGGTAAAGGGAGAGAGGAAAGAATATGCAAGTTTTCATGTGACATTAACATTTTCTTTTCCTCTTTTGTTAAAAAAAGGGACTGTTAAGACCAAATTAAAGGTTTAGGACTCTGCAATGATGTGTGAAAAAGCCAACAGAGAATGACAATTACAATATCAATACCGTCTGTTGCAGCTCAGGTTATTAAAGGTTTTTAATAGAAACTTTAAATCACTGAGTTAAAGTAAACTTGTTCCGATAAACCCACTGTACATAGCCGCCCAACAACAAAAAGTTAGCATTTACCATCTTGCTGCCAGAGTAGTGTGTGAATATTTGATCATTCATTTGTCACATAGCAGAAAACATGGCTCCAAACTAAGACTAATGTTCTGCTGTCACTGTCAGCATGTGAATTTTTCAAATAGTTCTTGTGTTGTGCCCATTGACAGTCTTCCTGGTTGGATCAGAAGTTTGTAAGAACTGTCATCTCCCTGTGCCAGAAGCAGAAAACCAGTAAAAAATTTCACATTTGTTTGCTAGCACATTTCTATAAAAACTCGAGTGATATTTATCAGGGCAGCATTTCTGTATCATGGAGTCGTGGTGTGTCTATGGTGGAGAATTGATTAATGTAACTAACTAGATACTATAATAAAATTGGAAAGTTTAAATGGCTGAGAGAAAATTATAGCTCTATAATTCTTTGCTACACACAAATTTGTAGCAGTATAGCTGCACATTTGACCTTTCACACTGTAGAGGAAAAACAACTCGGTGTTACAAAAAACCCACACACATTGCATTTCCTCTTGCCTGCATTGAATTTTGACACTATCCAGTGAATTGTTAAAAGCTTTCAATCAGCCCACAGTGGAGCATATTTGATCAGCCTAAAAGAAACACCTACTGGGGAATTACAGGGGAATCAGGGAACTTTACTCAGGACAAAGCAAATAACATTCAGACACTGAAGCCTGGCAGAATAGGAATTGGTTTCAGATGATTACTTGACAGCAGCTCTTGAAAAGAGCACGAGTAAAGCATACCGTATCCTGGGCTATATGCTGCCATTGGTTTGTTACCTAGTTGGTCTCTCACCTTCCAGTGTTGTCGCCAGGACTTTCATCTCTTCCACACTTAGTGCTTCATTCATGCGTGTGCTGCCAAACAGCCCCCCCGGCAACCGACAACCCTGCTCAGTGAGTCTTGTGAACTGGCAAGGCTCACCCCCACTGTCAGCTAAAGGCCTTGAATACACACTAGGATGTGTAGTCATGATATCTTTTTTTTTTAAGTGACATCTCTACTTTTGAAATTTGTTTTGACCCTTTGAAATGACCTAATGTTTTCTATGCTTCACTCTGGGGAAATAAAGGAGTTGACAGCTATGAGGCATGCTTTGAGCTAAATGCTAGTGCCAGCATACTAACGTGCAGAATGATGACGTTAACATGCTGATGTCACCCATCCATCCATTATCTAGAGGATCACTGGGGGAAGGAGCCAATCCCAGCTGACACTGGGCAAGAGGCAGTGTTAGTAGACTATGCTGATGTTTAACATGTATTATGCTTGCCATGTTCACCGTCTTAGCTTTACTGTATGCGTTAGCATGCAAACATACCACAAAAGTGATGTCCCCTCATTTCCTCTACATCTGAAAATCGAAAAACTATTTATATAGCAAGTTTCAAAACACGGATACAATACAAAGTCTTTTGTAGTAACCCAGTCACCTTTACGCTAAAAAAAAAAGATTTGTAGCCATCTCCATGGCAACATTATACCTTATATCACCAAAGCCCCTAAACTATTGGAACTGTAGCTCCAAAACCTGAGAGAGCATGGTTATCACCCAGTTTTTAAGTAACACACAGGAAATTATTTAGTAATGACAATAATGTTATGAACATTTATCTTTATCCATTGGGGTTTCATAGAAAGAATAAAATATTCTTAATTTTCAATCCCTCATGACTCAGCTGACCAATATTCGGTACATCCATGTGGTAACTGGTGAAATAACGTGACTTTTTGTTAAGATGCTATGTCTATGAACTATTTTTTCCACTTAAATCACCAGTTAGCCTATTTTTCTTCCATAAAACAGATATGATGCATGTGAAATTGTTGAGGTTCAATCTGAGAGAGGGTGGGTGAAGATTTCAGGCCAGACAAATCAGTTCTCGGTTGTTGGACCATGAAATGCATTAACATTTCATAAACTCTTCTCAAGTTCCTGAGAGACCATATATTGTTTTTCTTTCCAATATATGGATGACATCTATTCCTAATTAAGCCTCTCATGCAGTATTTTTCCATACATCAAGTAACTTCTGTCTAGGACATTAACCCAGTCATGAGACATCCTATTTACATTTTGATCTAAGCAAGAAGGATAATGGTTTAACTGCATAGAGAATATTAAAAGGATAATAAAAATGTTATTAAAATTATTTAACAGAGTGGCTACTTAATAACTGCAGCAAGTAATACCGTCTCCATTTGCCTTATAACTAGAACCAAATAGTGTCAGTTTTAAGCTAAACACCAGAAATTATGAGGCAAGTTTCAAGGAAATTAGCGGGAAAATATGGCACCCATAAAATAGAATGGTGCCAGAATAATAACAGGAGCAACAAACTCAACTAATGCCAACTCTTTCATGTTGTACATCAATATTTTTTTACTATGGCTTCAAATGTCTTATTGTATATTTATAGGATGGTGTGGGAGGTGGGGGGTTTTGCTGATAGGATCACCAGAAGAGTAGTTTCAGCTCATCTGAACCATGGACATCTGTACCAAGTTTCATGTGAATCTATATAGTAATTGCTGAGATACTGTATCAACCTGTACAGACTGATTGACAGCACCATATATAAAAAGTCTGCCAGTCTTGTTCACCAAACTGCAGTGGTGTCATTTGTAAATTAGTTCCTTTTACAGTCAGTTCATAACATGCTGCCATTTCATCTTTTTGTGACCCTCTGGAAAGTTGAACTATTGTTTCTCAAAATATTTCACCCCTCTAATGCTCCGACAGTCCCTCATATGTAAGACTAACCCATGTCCTAGCAGAGCAGTTGATGGATGAACTCATAACTATTTGAAGCATTCACATGAGCTCATGGGAAGAAGATGTCACCCATAAAGCACCTCATCCCAGGAGTCCCTGAGAAGAGGGCTGGGTGGGGACTGGCAAATAAAAAGTGGCTCCTCAAAAGTGGATGGTGAAAAACTCTCACCTTCCACACTCTGTCCTGCCAGCTCTGATTGTCCCTCCTCTTCCTCTCTCTGCTCTACCAGTTAGAAATACGAGTCAGAGCCATCTACAGCTCTTCTGTCATTCCTACTTTGTCAACTCTTTCTCCACAACACAATCTGACTAGTTCTTTTTCTCCTTTCACTCCCTCACACAGGTGCCTATTATGCCCCTTGTGGTCTTTCCTCCACATTAATAAATGGTTTGTTAAATGACTCAGCCGTCATCTCTTTCTTGGTGTCTCCACAGTTCTTCATCCTTCTCCTGCTCATCTTCTTCCTGGAGATTTTGTCCATCATGCTTTTCTTCATCTACCAAGACGAGGTAAGACACATCGGTTGCTCTCATGTTATATCCTGTGATTCTCTCCATGTGAACAAGATAACTGGCTCCGAAATAGACCCTGCATGTGTCATGCAGATTGCTGAGGATGTCAAGCCTCCACAGCAGGGTTGTTTTGAAGTTCATAATCGCAGTGTTAAGAAAAGAGCATGTCAGCTGACATTCTGCATAACCGCTGATGAAACTGTCTGAAAATCTTTTCAAATGTTACTTTGGTTGATGCGTGCACACACAGCTCTAGGGAGAATCCCTGGGCTACAGCCAGAATATACTGTCACAGTTTCCTTTCCATGTTTATAAATCGTAGTTTATCTCAGCTCATCTATTTTGAATGATTTCCCCTGGAAATAAACAAGTCAGGCAAGAGACAAGAAGGGGATGCGCTATCCCTCTCCTAATATGAATTTGTAATTCCTTCACATATTCAGCCTAGGTTTTACATTGCATTAAAAGGGCATGCTAATTTCAGTCCATCTTAAGAGCTTGAGGACTGCATTTTGCATTTGTTGTTAAATTAAATACAAACTGTCATTAAAAGCCAAGGACTGTCAGCATGTCTTTTATTCTGTCCAAGAATCTACTGAACACAAGGATCTTAAAACAGCAAGAATGATTTGCAATAAGAGTCAATAGTCCAAAGCAAAGTACCATTTCAAATTCAATATAACATTTAGGGCAACAAATTATTATATTCATTGTAGATTAAGCTGCAGAAGTTTTAAATTACTTAATGAAGTGTTTGGAAAATTAAATGTGAGAAATGTTGACAATTTTCCAAAACAAGATGCTTGTTCTGTCCAACAAAAACTATAAGGATGTATAGAGAAAATTTTTTTTTGCAGCAAATCTTCACATTTGAGATGCTGGAGCCAGAACGTTTGAACAGTTCTGCATCAAAAAACAAGTTAGGATTAAAACTACTGGTGATTATTGTTCTGTTTGACTAATTGACCAGTCGTTTCACTACTATTAGCATTTTTCTGTTGAATGAGAACCTGACACTTCATTTTAGAGGTAAAGTTTTTCCATCATATTACAGGGCTCAAGTATCCTGTTATCAAATTAAACCGACAAAGAGATGTACAGTATACTGAGGGCCCTCTAGAGGCATTTAATATAACCACAGACAGGTGAAGTGTAGGACTCCATTACAAATTTATTTGGGTTATATTATCATTCATGTGCTGGGACAGAGGACATGCTGTACTCCTGGAAACCTTTGGTAAATAACAACCGACTGATATTTCCCCGTCTTTGTGTGTGACTCGTGTTTGCAGCTGTAGACCCCAAACCTGTTTACACTTTGTTCTGACTTTTATCTAATTGCTTTATTCTGACATGATTATATAATTGCCTAATGTGCTGTGCTTCCATTACAGTTTGTAACTAAATGAGCATTTCCGCTCTGGCATGTTCATCTGGGCTTTCAGCCAGTCAGCATTGCTTCGTTTAGTGTTTAATGAATATCGTCTTTTGTCATGCCTCACCTTTCTCTTGTATAATGTTCCCTGATGTTATAGGTGCACCCTACTCTCCAACCTCTAAATAATTCAGCTTCATTTACTGTACCCAGTAGGTGATTAACAGAACAGAGTTAGGTACTGTATGGTCTCTGTGTTCTGCAGAGCCGATGCACTGTTTTAATTAGATACTGTAGCGTGCCAGGTGCCCTACAACAATTGGTGTGGTAGACTGAAATAAAAGGAAATTTCCTAAGGTTATAAATTAATAAAAATGATCCACTTTTTAATGCTTGCACCACTAACAGGTACTATACTGGACAATGACTTTACAATACTGAAAAAAGAAACCGCACAAAAAAAAAAAAAAATCTAGAAATAAAATCTGTTTCATATTTTCAGAATTCAAATGTCTTTTTCTAGTGACACTTTTTTTTTTTTTTCCAGTGAAGTCTTTCATGGGTCCAAAAACTGAGTTAATTTATGCTCTGTTAACAGCTGGTTGTTTAACCAACTTAAACCTCTTGGTTAAAGGTTGGGGTTTAAAAACTAAACAAACAAAAAATAAATAAATAAATAAATAAAAACAACCAGATATCACAGATGCCAAGTTGGGAGACAAGATGTGGTTGACAAGACTGATATTTAAAATCACATCCATTTCCCTCGCTGCTGTTTTCTTAAGGAGGACAGTCTCTGCATTCTACGTATGTATGCAAACTGATAGAGGGACAAGCCAAACATTTTACAAATACATACAAAAATCGTCATTGTGGATGTAGGCCTCCGCTAACCAGACCTTGACTTTTGACCATCAAAATATAATCAGTTCATCCTCAAGTCTAAGTGGACACTTGAAGAAATTTCTTTACAAGTCGCTCCTGACAAATTGCGTTCACAAGACTGGGACACACAACCTGACATCATAATGCGGAAGCATGGAAAAAAAATGCATCTCCTCTGCACTGTAGACTATATTTAATCAAAGATTTGTCTGGTGAAATTATTGTGCAGCATCCACCTTGTTAGTTCAGGGAAGAAACAAAAGCAGAAGGATGGCTGAACATACAGGAAGAGGAGCATTAGTTTGGAGTCATTTCTCATAAATGTGATGATGACATTCACTGAGAACAGGGAAAAGAAATGCTTAATGTTGGACAACTCTTTAGATGGCACTGTCCTATTAATGATGCATTGAGCCACTTTGAAATGTTGTCACCGCATGAAATGGCCCTTCTCAGTTTGTCACCAGGACCACCTAGTTGGCTCGTTAGGCTGTTATCGTCGGCTCAGTGGGCTATTATCATGTGCCGGATCTTTGTCATGATGTTTCCAATTATAAATATGGATTGTACCAACTTACACACCAACACAACTTAATTAGGTTTAGGCAAAAAAAAAAAAAAAAAAAAAAAAAAAAAAAAAAAAAAAAAAAAAGTATGCGTTACGTTTGGGAACAAAACAAACATGAGTTAAACAGCGCTTCAGCATTCTCTTGATCACATAATTAGCAGCTACTTGGATTCTGATTCCAAGATAGTGAAGTGTATTATATATTATCTAAAATGCTCTGTTCTAGACTGTTCTGAAGTTAAATAGACATTGAACCCAGATACTGTAGATGTAAAAACATGCACAGAAATATTTTCGGACTGGATTTTCCAAGACCCTTTTCAGTATTACTTTGATTTTATCTTGTAGAGTATCCCATGGTTTTCAAAGTGCTAGTTTATGATTGTCAGGACCTGCTGCTTTTCACCATCTCCATCACCATGGTAACTCCCTGGATGCGGTCCTGCAGTTGGAGTAAAACTGATGCTATTCCTCCACTATGCAGAGCCTTCCACATGGCATAACCTAAACAGACTGCAGCAAAGGTGCATGTTGATGAACACCATCCCAGGCCTCAGGGAGAGTCACGCTCAGCGGTGCAGTTTATTACACCTGCTTTAGACCTGATAAAAAGCTGTGTGAATAGCTGGAAGCTACGTCAAACAGCTCACATTTCTTCCACCTACTGTACTGTACCTGAAACTGTCACCATTTGTTTCACTTTGCTGGTTTCTAAGGATGATGAAAAGCTTCTATGAGGTTAACTTCAGTGGACCCAGTGTGTCTCAGCGTGTCAAAGTGAATAAAAATAAGTGAGTCAGTTGCATGATATTAAATATTGATATACTAGTGTTTCATACTATTTTTGCATAGGTTTACTGCCTTGTCTACATGGCTTTATTATCACTTCAAGAGAAAAAAGAGCAACAGCAACAGACATCCATCAATATTTTGTATAAGGACTAATGAACTACCAACAACCCTAGCACCATAACCATTATTTTTGTATATTAGGCCTGTTATCAATAATTCTAATAGTGGCAGAAGCATTAGTAGCGGTGGGTAGTTGCAGTGGAACTCTCATGTCATGGCATCATGAAAAAAGTCCAAAGGTCTCTGTATTGGCTTCTTGTTATTTTGGATGTAATGATTATAGTCTCACAGTATATAACCTACTGAGCCTCTCAGACCTTATAAATGTAGTTAATTCAATAACTGTTAGCACTATATGTGTGCATATGCTTTTAGTGTAAAGGTTGATTGCTTTTTTTGTTTGGCAGAAGTATAGGAGTAATTTGTTCAGAATAACTTGTAGGTTTTTAGGATGTGTCAAGTCAAAAGCAGATCTTTTGGACAACATTCAAACAGCTACACTAGCTGCCTAACGCCCTCATAGCCAGTTCAACTAAGCCCACAGAAACAATCGAACAAAGCCAGGAAACAATTCACAATACTTAAGTTAGCACAAACAGCTAATACGTACCTTGTTAAAATGAAGCAGTGATTTCTGGGTGAATGATCCTCAGTGGAGAATAAGGCTTTCAGGCTGTCAACAGAACAAACAGAAAAATCATTTTATGGCTAGAAGTTGCCTAAATTCACACTGTGATGCTAATTTTTTCTATAAAGATCAAGCTGACAATGGTATATTTCTTCGGCTTACTCAGCAACATGCTGGCTATTTACTAACAGCTGGCATGTCAACAGTGAGCTTGCCAGCCACAGTAGCTCAGTGGCCATTACATGTCACCAAATATAACATTTAGCAAATCTGAACAAATCAAATTAAACAATCATTTACACTTTTGCAGCGACTGTGAGTCAGGGGGCAGAGAGATCATTCCCCCAACCGGAAGGTCAGTGGTTCAATTCCCATTCTCCCTATTCCACATGTCGAAGTGTCCTTGGGAAAGACACTGACCTGCAGGTTGCTCCCTGCTCAGCATCGTGCATGGACACCACTGCAATGTGTGTGTGTGTGTGTGTGTGTGTGTGAGTTGGCACCACATATGGCTGCCTTTGTTCTGTAGCAGAGACACATTCTTGCCCAATAAGTGATTAAAATTAAATTAATTAAAACTTTGACCATCTGTACACCATAATATTTAAGAGCCGTTTTCTGAAAAAGTCAAACAATATCCCAGATATTTGTAGCATGTAACAACCTCCATTTTCTTCTAATAAGACATCAGCAATGTCAAGTGTCTTATTTCTTGAATTAGAGAAAAGCATTAGTTTGTCTTTATCTGCATTTAAAACCAACTTAAGTTACGAAAAATTGAGCTGGTAAAATGTATGCGGCTTGAAGTTTTTGAAGTGCCATAGCAATGGGTGTGGGTTCCACCTTTATTTACACTTCTATTATCTATGTAGAGTGTAAATAAAAGTTGCCAGTAAGCCAGTTTGAGCTAAGCCCATTAACTCCTACACACTGACTTTTATCAGACAAGTAATTAGAGGACCAGCTATCTGCATGGCCAGACAGCCCAGTGTTAATGAAGTTCTTCTTTAAGGGTCCACCGCATTAAAAATTTTGAACAGATCTACGACTAAAGTCGTGTTCTGCGTACTGTTGAGACTGTGATATCATTGACCTGTAATGTGACAGTAATGACACTATGTTGCTTCCTGAAGCCAGACTGATTCTCAGACAGAATAGTTTTGTGGCTCACAAGGGTTTCCAGGATTTCAACCAACACAGACAAATGAGCAATAGGTCTATGATTATTTACAGAGGACATATCACCACCTTTGTACAGAGCAGTAACAAATGTGAAGTTTCACACCTTAGGTGTCATGTTTGTACTTAAAGTGAGATTAAAGATGTGTGAGATAGGAAAGGCAATTAACTCTGGAGCAACCTTTAAAAAGTATGGTTCTAACTTGTCAGGACCAGATGGCTTCCTTTAAACTATCTTCAGCTGGGTATGAGGTGCCTCTAAGATGATGTAAATTCACCTTCAGAACCAGTTGTGTAGTCAGTAACATCTGATGCCAGGCGCTGTAGTGAATAAGGAGGGATTTCCGACACAGCATCTATGTGTGCGATAACCTCAAAACTTACCAGGAACTCCATTTCTTCAGCTATTTTCCTCCAGTTACTCTGCTTCTTCTCTCTCTACATGTTGCAGTCATAAAGATTCAAGATAACCAAACACTTTTCACTAAAGTTTGGCTTTTTTTTTTGTCTAACATGGCAGCAGCACTGGGAAACAAACTGACATTTCTTCTCAAAGCCGTAGTGAAGTGACACAGTCAAACTGTTGACAAGCTTTTACAAAAGCAACTGCAGCAAGATAAACTTGCAAAAGGAAAAGGGGGCTAAACTCAGTCAGACCGCTGGCAGTGACACTACACAGGTGTTTTCACTTATCTGGCTAATTAGACCTCTGCTCAAGTTTAGTGGGTGGCATCCTGATTGCCCATGCTTCCTGCTCTGGGCTTTTATTTTGGTACACTTCCACCCCATTTCGCTTTTGGGTTGTTGTTCCAGTTTTACCTGCTGTTGCCTGCTCCAATTATCCACAAACCAGCCATTTGCCCACATTCTCTGCTATTTCTTAGGAGACTTTCCACCTGATCTGTTGTCTGTTTCTTATGACTAATTTGCCTTTTCTTTCTATGCTTGTGTAGTTCCCTGTAGCTGGTTATTAGTTTAGCTCCCTGGTGGTATTGTTTATTGTATTTCTTTAGTTTGCCTCTGAATCTGTGTTGTAATCAGTTCCAGGCTTATTTTTATACTTGTATAGTGGCAGTGTTCTGACTCTTGTGTTCATCATTCTGTGCCTCAGTTTAGCCCAATGTTTGTGTTATAGTGTTTTCTTGTGCTGTCCATGTTATTTAGTTTCATTCCTCTGACCCAGTCTATGTCAGCCGGTATACTTAGCCCTGCTTACTTGTGTTTCTCCAGTTGCTGGTATTTCCACCAGTTGTACCATTATAAACAGTTTTTGTTTCACCATACTCTTGCCCTGTGTCTGCACTAGGGTCCTCTTGAGTTAAATAAAACTGGCAGAGCAATGTAGGGACTTATTAGTTATCACCAAACTGTGTATGAAAATGATAAAAATGCAAGTTGTATGCCAGGAGCAGTTGTGTGCACATCCCCAAAGCTTCAGTGAGATACAGTAGGTGTTTGATAAAAAGTTGGGTAAATAAATCTGAAAATAACTACTCCTTCTCCATTCAACAGTGTAACTTTCACCTCCACAACAGATGTAACAAAATTAACAGGAGACTAAGAAAAGAAATGTCAGTCAAACTCAGCCTGTCATGTGATGTCATTACATGGTTAAAGCACATGTAATGAACTGAGCACTGAATGAGAACCAAATCCAAAATGTGGACTCTGAATAGGTCAATCCTAGTGAATTAAAATTATTGGCCATTCTTGATAAGTTACCCCTTAGGTGCATATTAAGCTGTTATGGAACTAAATTGATAGAACGTGGAGTCTGTTATAAAAATGATCTAAAGCCAGGTCAATGCTTGGAAAAAAAATCTGTTGCAACAGAGGTATAAATGGCATCCTATTTGTTCTACATAATCATATCAGTTTTATATCTAACCGCTGTGGAATGAAACCATATATCAAAATTTGCTTGTGGGTGCTCAGACTTAAACACAGACTCAGGTCATTCTGTGCTGTGTAGCTGAAGAGACATCAGTCAATCATATGCATGAGACCTGAACAGTATTTTAAAAGCCAAATCTAATACCCATTTGAAGCCAACAGTGATAGACAGCCGACTTCTGTGTCTGCTGGGATCTTTAAATTAACACCGATCACAACAAATGCCCTGGAGCAAAAAGGCTTCATTTTGACATTGATGGGTTAAGACTAAAGGAAAATCTCTGCCCTCAGATACTCTTAAACTCCTCTGTGTCTTCACTATGATGTTTAGTGCCGTTATTTTCAGAAGTAGAGTTGTCAATCACCTTTTTGTCGCAGTGGCTTTACCCCGACTTGCTTAATCTGCTTCTGCTAAAGTTTGTGATTTCTTATTCTTAACTGTCTCATAAGGACAAAAGAACAAGACAAAAAATGACCATAAAAACCATCCATTCAGAGTAGCTGCTCAGTCTTCGTCATACTGTAACATGACTCATTTCAGAGGAGCTCATCTTACCAGGATCAACAGAGCCCTCACCTCCACATGATGTTATCAGGTCCATGCAGCATGAGGCACTGCACAGTATTTCCTCTGCTGCTCAGCGGTCAACGTTCGAATGTGGTGCCTGTCTTTGGGGAGCTGTGGGGGTAATTTCTTATCTGATTGTGTGCTTTGGGATGAGTCAAGGTGAGGTAATACTGCTGTAAAAAAGGAGGTCATTTAGTACTATAATCAGGGGTGATTCTCAGAAGACCTCATCCACTAATCCAAAGGGTATTGGTGCAAATGAATCATGGCCACTACTAGTTCTGCAGCAGCAGATTTAGTAGTGGCCATGATTCGCATTCTTACATGTGGTTTCCTTTCTAAAACTTTGAAAATGTCAGGCACTGCAAATAGGTAATACTGTTATGGTCGCACACCACGTGAGGTGGTGTGACAGAAAACGGACTCAGAGGGCTGACTTCACCATAAGCAGTGTTTATTTCGTGCTGTACAAGGCAAGGAGTGCTATAACGTGACATAACAATAGAGACCAGAATGGGTGTAGATGGAATGGATGTTGACCACAGAAAGGCAGGAAGAAGGTAGTTGCTGGGCCGAGCTGCGGAGCGTGGAGGTCACTCACTGGCTGGTCGAGTAGAGGTGGTTGAGGCAGAAGAGAAGGGAACCAGGCAGAAGGCAACGATGAGAAGAGAGGATCAGGGGAGAGAAAGCAGAGCAGCGACCTGGCTGGTGAATGATAATCCGATGGCAGAGTGGATGAGGTCCGGAGGTAAATAGTCCCGTGTGGGAGTATGTGTCCAAGCAGGAGGGCTGAAGGCCGGAACAGGTGAGGAGAAGGCTAGTTGGCAAAAGAACAAGGCAAAATAGAAAACAGTGTTGGCGTTAACATGAGGTGGCTTTAGTTGTCTGTGTGTGCACACCAACAAACTGGCAGTGGGCAGGTAGGAAGGCGAGGTAAATATAGGAGATGTGGTGATTGCAGGAGTGACAACAGGTGGTGGTAATGAGGATAGCTGGCAGGTGTGTGGAGGAGAGAGGGCAGGTGAAACTGAGCAACCCTGACAAATACTATATTGTAATGCCCTTTATTTAGCATTTATTAAGCAGCAAAAGAACAACTACTTTATAATCTGGACAAGTATAAAACATCAGAGTGTAAGTGTAGGTAGGGATACGGGCATTTTAAAATGTTTATTACAGCATACATCTGTGTAAACAGTTTTTTGTTTATTTCATAAATTTATAATGAACATATTTATTTCTTATTTATAAAGACCGTTATGTCTTATTTTATAAAGTGAGCTTCCTTTTTTCTTAACAAACAGTAACAAAATCTTCTTTTTCCTTTGTTAAAAGTGGGATTGGATACCTTATTTTTCCTTTTCTGTGTGGTTTGTTGTAGAGCAGCTGTGGACAGTTCCTAGAAGCTATAATCATTGAATTAAAAAAATATTCTTACATCTACAATATAGTGTGTTGGAAACCAATTCTAAAGTATTTATATGGTCAGAGTGGAGTTAAAGGACCTGCCCTTACAAACAGTGTCTCGGCTGTGTGAATCACCTTGTTTCATTCTTTTGTATGTATTTCAGACTAAAATCCATTTTTTCCAGCGAGAAGATGTCTCTTGGTGAATTCTGTTGACATGCACCATTTCTCCAAAGAAACAGGGTCTGTTTCTGCTGTCAGCGTTACTGTAACATCACCGCCTTCATTTCTTGGCCCTGTTCCAGTGTTGTTATACTTAACAAAAATTGTGAAATAATCTGATAATGAGAAGAAGATGGGAAAGGTATTCACTTGTGAACGGACTATTAAAGCGTAACCATTCATGCAGTAAAGCAAACTACAGGCATCATATCTCTAAAACTGCAGACGTGCGTCACATTAGACCAATTGAAATCACATTTCAAGTATGATAGCTCCACTTTTTCCACATCATTGCTGTTCGAGAATCAGCAGTCAAAACATTTTACCTTGTCAAAAAGCAGCACCCCTGTCTGTAAACATTTCAAGCCAGAGAAATTGTCTTCTCATGTGGACTGGAAAAATGCAATTAGATAAAACACCCCTGGCTAATCACATTGCTAAAATACACCCACGTCAGGGCAATGTTAATATAAGGGATGAACTGAGGTGACTGGTAAACAGACAAGACATTTGTTTGGGCAATCTCGGAATATTTGTGACAGGGGAATGTGCAATTTGAGTGCTGCTGATAATGTTGAGAAATTGCAAAGACGCTAATTGTAAGTGATTTAAATTATAATCAGGTCTCCAATATTATAAAAGAACACAGGAGAGTGAAACTATGCTGGAGAACACACACAGATAAATGTCAACACTCCTACAAATGCATTTGAACAAACAAAACAAAAACACTACAGATACAGAGAGAAACTGAATCCAAATTTGTTAAGCCTGCATATAATAGTGAAATTATTTATTACTGTACATTTTATGTTTAAACAGCATTGTAGACTCATGTTTAAATAGTAGGTCTTGTGTTAACGTGAACCTCCGAGTGTGTAGGTTTGGTTACAGAGGTTTTGGGACTCAATGAACCATTGACATAAAGTAAATAGAAACCCAAGTTAATCCACAATTACTTTTCAAAAGACATGATTTTTTGTGACAGATAACTTTGCATTTACATCTTGCTATGATTCTGTACATTTCGTGTTTGATGCTTTTAGTTTGGTGCATGTCCTCCTTCTCGTGTTGTCCCGGATCCTGCCTTGCCCACTTGCCTGCCTTTGTTACTACTTCCTGTGTAATCCCCTCCCTCCCTCCTCCTCATGCGCCTGTTGCTCATCAGCATCATCGACTAACCGGCGTAAGAGCAGCAGTCAGCTTTCATTTGTCGCTCGATAGTCTGATGTCAGAGACTCTCCTGCCATCTCATCTGCTGTCAGCCAGTCTGCTTTTGTTTAGACACTGACTCTTGCCCCCGGCCAAATCATTCTGCTGTTGCTTCACAGATTATGATGTTTGTGCCCAGCCTGGTTAGTTACCTGCCCCTTTCAACTTTATTTACCTCTGAGCTACTGAGTCCCAGAATGGTTTGCTCCCTTTCTTGGCTGCACCAGCTAAAAGACTAATGCTATCCTGAGCCTGAGATGTGTAGTATTATTTGTAGAGTATTTCTGTTATCCTACCTGTGTTGGTTTTCAGGTGAGCTTATGTTGCTGTGTATTCTGC